ATATATATATATAATATATATATATATATATATATATATATATATATATATATATATATATATATATATATATATATATATATATATATATATATATATATATATATATATATATATATATATATATATATATATATAAATATATATGTATCTGTATATATATATATATATATATATATATATATATATATATATATATATATATATATATATATATAAATATATATATATACATATATATATAAATATATATGTATATGTATATATATATATATATATATATATATATATACATATATATATATATATATATATATATATATATATATATATATATATAAATATATATATAAATATATATGTATACATATATATTTATATATATATGTATATATATATATATATATATATATATATATAGTATTTTACATACATATATATATATATATATATATATATATATATATATATATGTAAAATACTATATATATATATATATATATATATATATATATATATATATATATATATATATATATATATATATATATATATATATATATATATATATGTATATATATATACATATATATATATATATATATATATATATATATGTATATATATATATATACATATATATATATATATATATATATATATATATATATATATATATATATATATATATATATATATAGTATTTTACATACATATATATATATATATATATATATATATATATATATATATATATATATATATATATATATATATATATATATATGTAAAATACTATATATATATATATATATATATATATATATATATATATATATATATATATATATATATATATGTCTATATATATATATATATATATATATATATATATATATATATATATATATATACATATATATATATATATATATATATATATATATATATATATATATATATATATATATATATATATATATATATATATATATATATATATATATATGTATATGTATCTGTATATATATATATATATATATATATATATATATATATATATATATATACAGATACATATATATATATATATATATATATATATATATATATATATATATATATATATATATATATATATATATATATATATATATATATGTATATATATATTTATACATATATATATACATATATATATATATATATATATATATATATATATATATATATATATATATATATATATATATATATATATATATACAGATACATATATATATATATATATATATATATATATATATATATATATATATATATATATATATATATATATATATATATATATATATATATACATATATATATATATATATATATATATATATATATATATATATATATATATATATATATATATATATATATATATATATATAGATAGATAGATAGATAGATAGATATAGATATATATAGTATTTTACATTAATAAATTTATGCAATCTAAAACTATCATCTGCGTTATTTTATTATGTTATGAGTTTTAGACTTTCTTTAAATATAAATAAAGTAAAAAAAAAATTATTTCAATATAAATAAAGCAAGTTTTAAAGTTTTAGAAAAGTATTGCCGAAAACTGTTAGATGTAGCTTGTGATGGTACTTGTTGATTGTTGCGTGACATGTCGAGTGATGGCACTTTAGTTGAAAGATATCTACATTAAGAAATTATACTTAACATTAAAACTTTATTAGAGAGAATCAATTTTAAAAATATATCTTAACGTATCTTACACGTGCAAAAAAAAAAAGGAAGAAATTGTTAAGTATGATTACTAATGAAATATTCAAGAAAATTCTGAATAAAAGAAAAGCTGAAAAGTAATCGCCAAAGTTTAAGGACAAAAGTAAAAAGTTAAAATTAAAAGTTTCAAGACCAAGTCTAAGTTTAAAGATTTAATTTTTGGTCTCAAAGCCATGATCAAGATTTGATCTAAAGACCATGATCAAGATTTTTGTCTTGCTTTAAGTAAAGTTAAGAAATCCTTATATGTACAACACGCATAAATTATTTCTTGAATATAAGGTATGAAATTTCTGAATATAAGGTATGAAATTTTTCTAAGGTATAAGGTATAAGGTATGAAATATTTCTTGAATATAAGGTATAAAATTTCTTCGCATTTCTGCGTCCAACAACACTGCGTGTTGTTGGAAAAAGGACTGCGTGTTGGCTGCGTGTTGTCCTAAAAAGGACTCCGGATTTGAAAGTCACAAAAAGATTATTTCTATCTGGTTTTTGGTATCCAGGAGCTCTAAAAATGTAAAGTTTATCGGCTACTTTTGGTGAAAAAAATAGGACTTATTGGTTAAAGGAACAATTGCTCTGTTATAATTTTTCTAAAGAAGGCATTCAATGCTTAAATTTGAATTTTTTTTACCCCTCTTTTTTTTTATCCAGTATAAATATGAATCAAAACCATTTTTTTAACAAAAAACTTATATTTTATACTTAAAAAAAATTAACTAATGAATGAGAAAAAATAGATATCAAAAGTGTGTCACCCTAATCCTTTTTAACTCTTCTGTTGTATGAGTTATACAACAACTTATAAAAATTGTTTTATAATTCTTGGTTATCAAGAACTTATAAAAACATTTTATTTTTTAACAAGTTCTTGATAACCAAATCATAGTAAAAAGAAATTCAGTCAATGAAAAAAATTGATGAAGGAGGTACCAATGGAGGAGGTACCGAACGAGGAGGTACCGAAGGAGAAGGTACCGAAGGAGGAGGTACCGAAGGAGGAGGTACCGAAAGGAGGAGGTACCGAAGGAGGAGGTACCGAAGGAGGAGGTACCGAAGGAAGAGGTACCGAAGGTGGAGGTACCGAAGGAGGAGGTACCGAAAGAGGAGGTACCGAAGGAGGAGGTACCAAAGGAGGAGGTACCGAAAGAGGAGGTACCGAAGGAAGAGGTACCGAAGGAGGAGGTACCGAAAGAGGAGGTACCGAAGGAGGTACCATTAAGCTTTAT